GGTAGGGGCAGCAGCAGCAGCCTCTTTCCGGTGCTGGCGCTTGTCTGCCTCGGTATGCAATCAGGCTAATTCAAGAGTATTGACTCCTCGTGTGGTGCTCCACCAAGCGTTTCGGTGTGGAGTGATCGTCTCCCAGATGAGGTTGTCCATTTGGCACTTATTCATGTTTGTCCTATGACTATCCTTATACTTTTTCCGTTGCCCATCAGCGTTACGTTTACCATTCGTTACGTGACTGTAAAGTAGCTGCTTTGGCAGTGTACTGTCGTCCATGCGGGTAACATGGCCATTCCAACGTAGTTGTTCATGGATAATGGTAGCCTCGATGCTCCTACATTTGATGTCACCTAGAATAGTGGCATTTGATCTCTTGTCTTCCAAGCGAACTCAGAGAATGGAACGTAGACTACGTTGGTGAGTGTTTTCAAGTGCCTTGAGGTGCCTCCTGTATGTGACCCATATTTTGCTGCCATATAGAAGGGTGGGAAAGACCACTGCTTGATACTCGCGCAACTTTGTATATATTTTCAGCTCCCTGCAGCTAAAGACTCGAGTGCAGAGTCTGCCAAAGGCTTAAGATGCACAGCTGACTCCGATGTTGAATTTCTTTATCGATGTCCGAGGTTGTGGACAAGTGGGAGCCTAGATAATGAAGGTGGGTAACATAAAAAGAGGGTAGTACCATTAAGCTGGATGGATGGTGGAGGTGTAGTTGAAAAATGGGTAGGCTGAAAGAGAATCTGAGTCTTACGTACATTGACCTCAAGGCCGAAGTGTGTATACACATCTGCGTAGGTGTTTAGGATCTCCTGTAGGTCGCGTGCAGAGCGAGCGACGAGGGTGAGGTCGCCTGCATACTGAAGTTCAGCAATGGAAATGCCGACATGCCTGGATTCGTCGTAAGTTGAAAAGTCCCTTCATATGGTACTGGATGTCCATCCCGCTGGCTAAAATAGCACTGGCACGAGTAAGGAAGGCAGCCAAGAAAATAGAAAAGAGAATTGGGTGCCATTGTACAAAATACTGCCGTTTATGCCATCGTGGAGCTGCCTTACAATGGCGATGAATTTTGGTGGGCCTGCTAAAATGGCTGAGGTCCGCTTTAGGACTTCCCTGATGACCGAGTCGAAGGCCTCAGTAAGGTTAGATGAAGGCCATGTACAGGTCACGACGCTGTTCTCTGCACTTTTCCTCAATCTGGCAGGCAGCAAAGATCATGGCAGTGGTGGCACATGATGGTCGACAGCCACATTGAGATTCTGGAAGAAATTTTTCCGCCCCAGGAAGAAGTCTGTTTAGGAGGAGTCAGGCGATAATCTTGCCAGCTACGAACAGCATTGAGATCCCGCGGTAGCTGCCACAGTCTGACCGGTCTCCCTTGTTCTTATAATTATTGACGATGGAGGCGTCTTTAAGAGCTTGGGGGATTTCCTCCTTTTCCCATAATTATATTCTCCAGGGGGTAGTGGAAACGGCTGGTAAGCAGAGGTCCTCCTGCTTTATACACCTCGGCTGGGATTCCATGGGGCCCTGTGGCATTGTTATTTTTCATCTGTTTGATGGCAGTAGCTACCTCATACAGAGTAGGTCAACTCTAGGTGCTGAGGGACCTGCTGTGTATTTAGGACATCCACATCGGTGCTTTGGTTGAGCAGCGAATGGTAGAGCTCTTTACAGCACGTAAGGATGCCTTTTTTGTCTTTAATGAGGGAGTTACCATCGATGAACGGAGAGAAGCTGCATCATGAGTGATTGGCTCAAAAAATGTTTTAGTGTAATTAAAAAATTCGTGCATCTTGTGTTGATGTGCAAGTTTTTGCGTTTCATATGTTTTATCTTTCATCCATTCGTTCTTTAAACTGCAAAGTTCGCGTTGGGCCGCCGCATTCTTCTTCTGGAGGTATCAGCAGTATCGACGAGTACGTTGATTTCCGGGCCATTTTCATCAGACCAGTGCTGGTGTATTTTTTTCGATCTGGGCGATGGTCTCTCTGCAGGTTTTTGTCGTGGCAGTGTCGAGAATACCCCATTCGGCGCTGGGATTTGGGTTGCTCGTTGTCGGGTTTTTTTTCAGCTCATGTTCGAGCTTCTCTCTGAAAGCATGTGCTGCAGCTGGATTCTCCAGACTCTTAGTGTTAAAACCTCTTCTGAAGATTTGTTGCCTTCGCCGTTTTGGGGTGACGTGAAGTGAGGGTTTGGCTCTTACAAGCCGTTGATCAGTGTCGCTGTGGTCTGAGCCACACATGAATCGGGTGATGAGGACATCTCGGCGATCTCTTTCTCTGACAATGATGTAGTTAATGAGATGCCAGTGTTTAGATGTGGGAGTTGCCACGAACCCTTGAAATTCTCGGCCTACCCAAACAAAATATTGGTGATAATGAGATCGTGTGCAGGACACTAGCTGAGGATTAGGCCGTTAGGATTACACTTGCCTATTCCTTTTCTCCCTATAATTCCTTGCTATATGTCCGCATCTCTTCCATCTCTGGCATTGTAGTCACCTAGGACTACAACCTTATCTTCTCCGGGGATAGAGGTTAGCACTCTAGCAAGGTCGGTGTAAAAGGCCTCCTTGATGTCATACTCTGCATAAAGTGAGTGATTCAGTGGAACTGAAGCGTCATGAGTCGGTCTCTCATCCCAACAGGCATTTCACTTAGCCATTGTAGGATGGATTGGCGCATTTCCACAAATGCAGTTTCTCTCCGCAGCAGGCTTACCCTTCCAGAAGAAGGTATAGCCAGACCCCCGATCTGTGAGTCGTCTCACGTCTGGGAGCCGAGTCTAACTAATGGCTGATATGTCGATGTTATACCTAGACAGCTCTTTTGCCACAATGGAGGTGTTTTTTTCAGGACGCTCATTTGTGTCAGTATCCAGAAGGGTCCTGACATTCCATGCAGCGGCCATAAGCAGTTGTATAATTTGTTTTTGCCTAAATATGTAATTATGATTGCGTTTTCGACCTTACTACGTGCGGTTACCCAGTCAGGCTTGTTCTTTAGGCAAGTTATGTTTAGGACACCTTTTCTAGCCCCTCCCCATGTAGGGTGAGCAGAGTGGCTCTTCGAAAGGGTTGCTCAGTCGCACAGACAGGACATGATTGCACTGCTGCCTAGATCCCAGTGCAAAAACGACCCTCTTATCTGTGCCGCCCATGGGCAAAGTTATGATTGGAGAATCCCGGCATTCATCTGTGTCTGTTCCGTCGCCATAGATCTTTTGTGGTTATTAAGGTTTTTATGATGATGAGAAGTATGGTGAGCTGGATGATGGCTGCGAGTGAGTTGATTTATGTGGTGAGGCAGAAGCGCAGGCTGCAACCACACATCTTGGCTCTCCATTTTCCTTATCCAGGTGGTCCAGCGGTTAGCGTTCCCCGGTCACAGTCATAGGCTTGTGGGCCGTGGGTTCGAATCCTGGCGGGTTGAGGTGTTGATTGTATGTAGAAGTCCACGTGCTTTATTGGGCTAATGAAATATATATGGATCCTCGTGTTTCGAGGCCGGATTTGGTAAAACGTTACTCTGACCACCTAAGTGATACGGGTGGTCCCCATTAGAGGTTCACGGTGCCATAAGCTCGTTGAACAGGCTTTGTGTGAAATATAACAAAGTCTAGGACTGCTTTTAGTATCCTGGTGGTCCAGCGGTTAGCGTTCCCCGGTCACAGTCATAGGCTTGTGGGCCGTGGGTTCGAATCCTGGCGGGTTGAGGTGTTGATTGTATGTAGAAGTCCGCGTGCTTTATTGGGCTAATGAAATATATATGGATCCTCGTGTTTCGAAGCCGGATTTGGTAAAACGTTACTCTGACCACCTAAGTGATACGGGTGGTCCCCATTAGAGGTTCACGGCGCCATAAGCTCGTTGAACAGGCTTTGTGTGAAATATAACAAAGTCTAGGACTGCTTTTAGTATCCTGGTGGTCCAGCGGTTAGCGTTCCCCGGTCACAGTCATAGGCTTGTGGGCCGTGGGTTCGAATCCTGGCGGGTTGAGGTGTTGATTGTATGTAGAAGTCCGCGTGCTTTATTGGGCTAATGAAATATATATGGATCCTCGTGTTTCGAAGCCGGATTTGGTAAAACGTTACTCTGACCACCTAAGTGATACGGGTGGTCCCCATTAGAGGTTCACGGCGCCATAAGCTCATTGAACAGGCTTTGTGTGTAATATAACAAAGTCTAGGACTGCTTTTAGTATCCTGGTGGTCCAGCAGTTAGCGTTCCCCGGTCACAGTCATAGGCTTGTGGGCCGTGGGTTCGAATCCTGGCGGGTTGATGTGTTGATTATATATATATATATATATATATATATATATATATATATATATATGTGTGAAAAAATCACACAGGAGAAGGGAAACAATGGAGCACCTTAGCTTTCGTCTTTATTCAAGATGTCCTGAATACCAAAACTGTAAAGAGACCACAACGCGTTGTGGTTGTTTGGAAAATAACCAGAGGTTAGATTTTGCTATAGGTTAGGTTAGGTTAGTTTGGATTTGGTTAGGTTAGTTTAGGATAAAATCCAAACGCAAAATTTCGCTTACTGATTATTTTGAAAACAACCACAACCGGATGTGGTCGTTTTTCTGTTCTGAGCCCACCATAATTATACACATTAATAAGTCTTTACATAACCTAACCCAACTAGTATATGGAATAATTTTGTTATCTTAATTGAAACTGTGCAAAATTTACCATATACGAACTAATTTTCAATCTGCTGTGGGATACTGGAGTTACTACCATTACCATGCATCAGGTATTTTCACTTGTAATTAAAAAAAAAAAAAATTATTTTGAGATATTAACAAAATTGGAAAGGTGTTTCAGTCATTCGGCGTCTACAGTAGATATACTGACAGTGATTTGAATATTTGTGTGACCTGCTCCTACAATTTTTATTTGACTTGAAAGAAAAACAAAATAACGTTAATTTTGACTTTATAATTCAAAAAGGAACCAATATTAATTACTGAGAACAATATCTTACCTCATCCCAGTTGGCAGATGGTAGGACGTGGATAGTAAAGTTGAGAATTTCTGATAAAGTCATGAGTTGGTTGTAGTCAATGCCGGAGTGCTTGGTGTTGTTGCCTTCACCAGAGGTCATCCAGTACGGGGCATACGGCAGGGCGGTCACGTTCACCCTCGCACCGTAGAAACTGGTGGACGCAAGTCATAACAGCCCGAATAGGTTTATTAGTTTAATTTTTCATTCTTTTTAAGTTAAGGAATGAGAAGTCAAGGATTAGTTTTTATTTTGTTTTGTTTTACCATGCAGAATGAGTTGCTATACTGTATTTGTGAATATATAAACCGCCCCCCCCTCCCACACACACACACACACACGCACACAAGTGGATTGAAGTGAGTAGCAGGAGTAGAAATAGGTGCCGTGGCTTAACAACGCATGCCTGATTGTTATAGAATTGCAATAACAGACCACCAGCATCACGACCAGAGCAACAAGACTCACACTGCCACAGCTCGAAACCAGAATGTCGGCAGGCCTTGCCCAGCAGAAAAGGAATAAGTAGGTTAGTAGAAGATTTGCTTGTTGACAGGTGAAGGTATCGCCTTTGAGCTTATGCCAAAGGTGGAACGGAGCTAGTTGGAGAGAAAGAGTTTTAAACCTTCGTTGCAAATACTCTGACATTTTAAGATTAGAGATTCCAAACTCTTCCTCTCCAACTAGCTCCGTTCCACCTTTGGCAAAAGGTCAAAGATTGAACCTTCACCTGTCACCAAGCAACTTTACTACTTAGTGGAGGAAGTCAGAGACTTGCAGTTTGTACCCTGGGAGCACCTTACCTCTCTGGACGCATTTTCGTTTCGGAGCCTGATTGGCTGTCATTCGTTGTGAAGATGCGTTCTGAGTAGCCCAGAACGTTAGATGAATAAAGTAAGTTAGAACATTAGAACATAAGAAAATAAGGAGCTTGCAATAGGTCGGTTGGCCTGTGCATGGCAGCTCCTGTCGAGAGTTACAACCATTCTCTATCGTCCATAAATCTATCTGACCTCCTTTTAAAACTTTCCAGCGTTCCAGCACTTACTACAAAGTTCCTAAGCTTGTTCCACCCATCTGCCACCCTATTTCTGAACCAGTTTCTTCCTATCTCCCTCCTAAACCTAAACTTATCCAACTTAAATCCGTTGCTACGAGTCCTATACTGCTCGGATATTATAAGAACTTTATCTATATTTCCTTTAATGATTTTTTTCACCCACTTAAATACTTCTATCATATCTCCCCTCACTCTTCGTCTTTCTAGGGAATGCAAGTTTAGTGTCTTTAATCTATTTTGATAGGGAGGGGATCTATTGTAAGTCACGGAATCATTTTCGTCATTCTTCGCTGCACCGACTCTTGCGAATTGATATCCATTGTATAATAAGGGCACCAGAACTGAACAACATAATCGAGGTGCGGCCTGTCTAGCGCAAGATATAATTGCAATATGACCTCCTCACTCTTAATACTTACACTTCTGGATATAAAACCTACTACTCTTTTTGCCTTATTTTGAACATTAACGCACTGTTTTCTAGACCGAAGATCCGGTCTTACGAGTACCCCGAAGTCTCTTTCACAAGTCATGTTCTCTAGGTTGAAGTTGTTAAGGCTGTATACACTGACAGTATTTATTCTTCCAATATTAAATACGTTGCACTTACTGGTGTTGAATTTAAATTGCTATTTCTGACCACTCCTGCAGTTTATTTATATCCTCCTGTAGTGCATTTGCATCCTGCCCTGAATTAATCTTCCGCCCTATTTTGGTGTCATCCGCAAACTTGCTTATGCCACTGCTGATCCCAGTGTCTAGAATTCTAGATCGTTTATGTAGATTATGAACAAGAGTGGGTAGCTCAATCATGCGCTTCCCATCATATATATATATATATATATATATATATATATATATATATATATATATATATATATA